GTCGGCCTCATTAGGAGCATTTAAGCGGCTATTAGACAGGCATATGGATGATAGTATAACGTAGGGGTGGAGGTTAGATAGACCTTAGGTTTAAGGTAAAAGTTCGGCACAACATCGTGGGCCGAAGGGCCTGTACTGTACTGTGCTGTACTGTTCTATGTTCTATCCTGTGTTATCCTGTTAATATCTCAAACACTTCGAACAGAGCATTCCTTAACTTCCTAAATTCTAAAGAAAACAGGCCTAATTATATATAATCTCTCCTCATAACTTAGCCCCTGAAGTCCAGGTATCATTCTTGTAAACCTTTGTTGTACTCCCACCAAGGTCAACATATCTTTCCTAAGCTGTGGTGCCCAGATCTGTTCTCAACACTCCAACTGGGTTCTAGCCAGGGTTTTGTATATCTGCAGATTAACTTCTCCAACCTTGTACTCCATCCTCCAAATATCAAAACCAGCATTCCATTAGCTTTCTTGATTCTTTTTTGCACTTGTTTGTGACATTTTAAAGATCTATGCATCTGAACCCCAGAGCAATCACACAGCAGAGATAATGTCCTTGCCTCTGAATCAGGCAAATCCCATCTCCTTCAGAGATATGTATTAACGTCCCAGAACACATAGTTTTTAATCAATCTGCAACTGAATCTCCAAGTCTCTTTGGGAAACCACTGTAGTTGAGTTCATACTATCTAGACAATAGCCTGATCTATCCTTTCTCAGTCCAAACAGATAACCTCACTTGTTTACACTGTAGTCGATCTGCCACAGTTTTGCCCATTCACTCAGTCTATCCTTTTGTAATTTTATGCTATCAGCTACAATGTCTACGATACGGCCTATTCCCTCTCAACTCAGCATCATCATTCAACCCCTCCCACTTACCCATCACTTACTCATCCCCTGCTCCTTCTTTATCTTGCCCTCATGGCTGCCGGACAGCTGGAATGAATTGCAGCAATAATGATAAAGGGTTAAAGGGTGATATTTTACACATTTATTCCAATTCAAAACCTTTATAAGACATTGATTCGCATTGAAGAGAAGCAGTTACTAGAGCCCAACCCCAAGACCGAGATCCGAAGCCGCAGGACTCGGCCCTGCTTACCCATCACCACTCATCAGCCCCGTTCCACACACCCAGATTTATGAACTAAACTCAATAGTCTCAATCCCACACTTTCCTGTTGGATCCCAGCCCACAAGCCTCAGCCCCAATCCCTCCATCATCAGCTCCACTGAGTTCAGATCCTAATCTTCAGATCCTAGTACTCAGCATCACTTCCCCAATGCTAGCTCCACCCCTATCCTAGATTCCAGTCTCCAGGCTTTGACTCTGTATATGGTGGGATATAGCACTAAAAGAAATTTCTGATCTGTAAGGTAAAGCAGGTGAGAAATTGGTGGGGGGGATAAACTGGATTATGGGGTTTAAAGCACGAGATGTGCAACATATCAACACCACACACCATGAGTTTAATTTGGAACGAGAACAAATGTGCAATGAAATCAATCTTCAGAACTTATTAAAACATGAAAATGGAAACAAAGGGGAAATCAAAGAGGGAATGTTAAAATCTAACTTCAGCTAAATGTGCTAGAACCAATGAGCTTTGTATTATATTCTCTACCTTCCTTATCATTCAAAGGTCATTGATACTGATCAGGTAAATTCTTCAAGCATGAACCTGAGAAGGAAAGAGCAGAGGAAAATATGACTCCCAATGAGAGAATATGAGAATAGCATGCAAGTTACATAAAAGGAGGACGCAAAACTCTTTTACTGCCATGCAAAGACAGTAAACAAATAGTCAGAGTGGGGGAGGGGGAGGGGAAACGAAGGGGTGAAGCCTATATGAAACAAATTGGGTGATCTATGTTGTTATCTAAAATTAAAGGTGCAGAGCAAGACTATTATACTTAATACATATTTTGTGTTCATGTTTACTGGGGGAGACACTGCCAATATATGGACAGAAATAGAGATATTGGAGGTAATTAATGAGCTGAATATTGAATGGTCGCTTTTACTGGAAAGGATAACCATGCTTAAAATAGATTAGTCACCTGGTGCAGATGACTTTCATCCCAGGTCATTAAAGGAAGTAGGAAACAAGGTAGCAGAAGGGCTTGCCACTATCTTGCAACCTGCTCCATGTACAAGAACAATGTCAGAGGATTAAAATGTGGCAAGTGTGATATGTTTATTCAAGAAGGGTTGCAAGGTCATTCCTTGCAATTATAGGCCAATTATTTAACACCAGTGGTGGTTAAGGTTTCAAAACAGTAACAAGGGAAAAAAAAATCAACAGGCACAGAGGAGGTTCTTATTAATTAGGGAAAGCCAGCAGGGATTTCAAGAGATCCACAGTACCTGAGAGATCTATTTGATTTATTTTATATGAACTAACAAAGAAAGTTAATGAATGGAATGCAATGTAAGTTGTCTATATGGATTTTAAAAATTATTTGGAAAAGTACTACATTCAAAATTGAAGGTTTACAAAACTGAGGCTAGTGCAATAGCAGTCAATGTCAGTCTTGATAAACAAAGAAAGAGTTATAGACAGAAATCATTGAAACATGTAAAACTGGTTGTTTTTCAGACTGGATTTGATTGATGAGGTTGTTTTCCAGAATTCAGTGTTAGCACCTCTGTTTCTTTTCATATTTGTAAAAAAAAATTGGATATTGGTATAAAATAGAATTTGAGGTGTATGAGACACTAAAGAAGATTGACAAAATGGAGGTGGAAGGGATAGCTCCTCATGTGAAGAAATCTAGAATGATAGGTCACAGCTTTAGGATAATAGGGTAGCAGATTTAAAACAGAAATGAGGAGAAATTACTTCTCTCAAAGGATTGTGAATCTGCTGAATTCATTAGCCCAGAGTGTGGTGGATTAGGAGATTAAGTTAATTTAAGTAGAAGATAAACAGATTTTTATTTAGTAATGGGTTGAAGAGTTATGGAGAGTGGGCGGGAAAATAGAGTGGAGCTGAGAGGAGATCAGCCATGATTCTATCAAATAGCAGAACAGGCATGAAGGATTGGATTGCCTGCTCCTACTCTTAGTTCATATGTTTAAAGGGGTTGGAAAAGACAAAATAAAAGAAAGTAAGAAAATAGGAGGAAGGGTCACCGGACCCGAAACGTTAACTCTGTTTTTTCCTTCACAGATGCTGCCAGACCGGCTGAGCTTTTCCAGCAACTTTGTTTTTGTTCCTGATTTACAGCATCCGCACTTCTTTCGGTTTTTATAAAATAAATAATATGATGCTGAAGTGTGTTAAGGTATCAGAGGGACCTAGGATTCATGTTCATAAATCTTGGAAAGTGGCCAAAATATTAAGAGTAGCCAGTAAAGCGTTTGGGATCTTGGGCTTCAGATATAGAGGTATTGAATACAAAAGGAAATTATACTGAAATTTAAAGCTCTGGTTAGGCTACAACTAGTGTACTGTAACCAATTTTGGTCGCCAGACTTAAGGAAGAATGCAAGGGAATGGAGCATATTTAACAGAATGATCACAAGAATAAGAAATTTCAATTTAGAGTTCGGTTGGCGAAACTGGAATTATTGTCCTTAAAGGTGATTCAGGCAGTTTTATGGAAGTGTAAAGCTTTTGGTATGTTTAGATAAGGCAGACAACAAAAAGCTATTTCCATTAGGTATTCCATGGATTGGGGACACAGATTTAAGATTAAGAAATATAGGGGGCATATGAATTTTTTTTTTCTATATACAGCAAATGTTCATGACACAGGACTCACCACCACATGATGGAGGGCAGCTGAAGTGAAGATGTATGATTTCAAAAGTAAATTGTCAAGATTTGAGAGAAATGAACTCAACACTACAGGGATAAAGTAGGAAAATGAAATTAGCTGTGTTGCTCCAGAGGAAGTTGACATAGACTTAAATAGTTTCTGTGCAGCTATACTCCAGGATTCAAAATAAACACAAACAAAAAGGGAAAATATCCAAGAGAGGCAATATTTTATCAGAAGTGGTGTCAAAATCCATGTATACATAGAATATTTTCTGATAAAATTAGTAAACGTTGTGCTGATTAACTGCTTGAAACAGGATTTGAATAAATATCCACTAGCCTGAAAGTTGCAAAAAGTACAGATGATCAAATCCTCCTGAGACACAACCATCACTTTACCTACAGCAATATTTGGAGAAAGATTCTTTATAAAAGATTATAAACTAAAATCAATAAATCTAGTATCCTTGTGGAGTTTTTCTCTGGGGAGAATAGGCAAACAGAGAGGATATAGACCAAATGCTGGCAAATGGGACTAGGTCAGACTGGGATGACTGGTTGGTTGGCGCAGACAAGTTGGACTGAAGGGTCTGGTTCTGTCCTGTATGACTCGATAACAAGAATTTTTCCGCCAAGAGGTAAAAATGAATTGGAAAACCCATTACAGACATGATCCCACTTCATGGCCTGCAGATGCAATTTGTTTCCTGAGTGCAATTTACCTGCAATTGGCCACTCCTGTGCACAATATCAAGGAATTTCAAGGTAAAATTGCATTCACCCCTAAGTAAACTCCCACTATCATTTGTACTAGTTATACTGAAAAAAGGAGCTAAATGCCAACGCCACTCACAAAATGACCACCCCAACCCAAGTGAACGAATTGTTTTTTTCAAATTTCCACTTTTTCGTTAATTTCTAGGAGGTGGATGTAGCTGGTAAAGCTGGTCATCTCTCTCTCTCTCTAATGGCTTGAGAAGGCGGTGATCAGCCACTTAAACTACGGCAATCTTTGGGGTGCAGGTTCACTGAAAGTGTTCTCCAGGTTACAGCTGGAATATACTGTGCAGTTCTGGCCACCACACTACAGGAAGGATGTGACTGCCCACTGGCAGGGGGTGCAGAGGACATTCACCAGAATGTTACCCATCTCTCACACTCTCCCCTTCGCCCCGTCTCACTCACTCACTTACTCTTTCCCCACCCCCAATATCCATTCTCTTACCATCATAATAATAACAAACTTTCTTCTTGCCTCCTCCTTGAGCCAGCGCCATGACAGCAACAGCGCGAGGGAGCGGAGCAGAGACCACCGCGGAGCCAGAGCAGAGGGGAGCTTCATGTTGGTTTTTCAGCTGACTGAGATATCACCGTCCTCCCTCAATACCGGTACAGGCCACAAGCGATTTCATATTGCTAAATTTAAACAACAGTCTTGTCTCTTCCCAGTGGTTAAGGACGTTCACTTAATATACTTGTTTGAGTCGCATCAGCTCTCCCCTGTTCCTCAATGGTACAGTCCCTACACGCCCCCTCCTCCGGACGCGCGCTTGGACAAATCGCGGGGACGAGCGGTGCAATGTTAGTGTTGCCGCTGTACTTTAAGGAGCAGCAAAACATGTCAATGTCTCCAAAAGCGAGATAATAGCAGCTTTCATTTAAAAAAAAACAAAGATATCCCTGGTTAACGAGGCGAGCAAATATAAATGAGTAGTAGTGATATATTAAAAGTTGCATCAGTGGAATAACCTGGCTTCTTAACTTCAGTCCTTTCAGTTTGTTTTGCTCAAAAGTAGAAAATTATTTATATCAGGTTATTACTCATTATCGTACTTAAAAGTCCCAGCTTATTTCTGCTATCTGAAATAAGCCGCATGCCCCCATGATTCACCACCTGAAATTAAAACATAAATCGTTGGCAATTCTCAGCAGATGTAATCGCATCTGTGAATAGGGAAATTGAATTGTGTATGTTTTAAGTTTTGATCTCTTATCAAAACAAAATGCCTCCGATTCACCCACGATTATTGATATTCACATTTCAAGATCTACTGTCAACACTATTCTGCCCTTTACTAATTGCTGGTGTGACATGAGCACCTTAAATTATCTGCTTCCCTTTGCACTTTTAGTGCAGCCCTGTATTCTCTGTCGGATCTAAACATAACATTGTGATTAAATCTGTTGACAAGAATGACAATATTAATGTTTTGCAAACTAACTTCTCCCAAGCAGCGGTTAAAATGACAATTCGCTGACGTACGTTCTCCCACCCCTGCTCCATGATTCCAAATTGAATAAGTTTTGTGCATGAAGTGCAATTTTCATTTTGTCTTTTTCATCTGGTCGTTACCCATTTTCCCTTTTTTGGCGTGTGTGCATGATGAAATTCTAGTGTATTTTTTTAGTTGATCATGGGATGTCGGTGTTTCTGGTTAGGCAAGTATTTATTTTCTATCTCTACTTGCCCTTGAGAAAGTAGTAGTGAGCTGGTTTATTGAACTGCTGTAATCCCTGAAGTGTAGAAAAACCCACACTGCTGTTAGGGATGGTGTTCCTGGATTTTAACCCAACAAACCACGGAGCGCTGCCAAAGCTTGTGATTTCAAACAAAAAACCTGCTAGACTATAACCTGGTATTGTTTGATTTCTAGCATAGTTTCAAATCAAAGATTGAGTCTCTGTAACCATTGGTGTTGAGAAACAGGTTCGAACTTTATTTTGATACTTTTGTTAAGGCCTTTTAACCATGTTGAATACATTAATATATAGGCATATTTTTATTTGTTTGTGTCTGCTTTTGTTAAATAAACAAATAGTCCATTTTTAAAGAACGTCTGCATCCTTGTGTAATATGTATATCACAGATTAACCACTATGTTAACCAATACCAAAAGCCATTTTCGAGAGGGCTTCAAACTAATTAAAGAAGGTGATGCTTGGGGAGGGTAAAGGTAGGGTTACAAACAAGACAGTAAGGCAGCATTACAGGATAACTATGTGGATAATGATACCATGAGTGGGACAGGAAGGGACAGAGTGAACAGATGTAGAAAACCAGCAGTAAGTAGGGTTGGAGTGGGGTAGAATGGTTAAAAAGATAATGGCATTTGAAACTGCATAATATTCAGAACAAAATAAATTAATTAACTGCACAAACACAAACACATAACCTGGTTGTATATGATCTTATAACCATTGACATAGTTACAGGGAGATCACAGCTAGGAACTAAATATTCAGGAGTACGTGACTTTTCGAAAGGACAGTCAAGAAAGAAATGGTGATGGAGAAGCACTGTTAGTAATAGAAGGAATAAGTCTGATAGCTGGGAATAATCTGCGATGAGAAGATGTAAAATTATTTATGGAGATAAGATATAAAACAGGCAAAAATACACTAGTAGGAGTAGTCCATTGGTCGTCTACCAGTAGTTATATGATGGGACAGAGAATAAATCAAAAGATAATGAGAGCATGTAACAAGTTCATGGGAGATTGTAACCTTCATGAAGATTGGGAATAGTCAGACTGGCAGATGTAGCCAAGAAGAAGATTTCATAGTGCACATATGAGAAAGTTTCTCAGAACAATATGTTGTGGATCCAACCAGGGGCTAGGGTGTTTGCATGATGTGTAATAAGGCAGATTTAATAAATGATGTCAGAGTAAACGATCCTCTAAGAAACAATAACCATAACATGGAGAAATTTAGCATTCAGTTTGAGAAGGAGAAACTTGAGGCAGAAACAACTGTGGTAAACTTAAATAAGGGTAATTACAAAGGAATGAGGACTAACATGCTAGCTAAAGTGGACTAGTAAAGGAGTTTAGCAGAAATTTAAGAAGATGGTAAATGCTTTACGACAAATAGATATCCCAGTGAGAAAGAAAGATTGCAGGAAAGAGATAAGCCAAACATGGTTGATCAGAGAAGTTAAGAATAGACTTCGTAGAATCCCTGCAGTGTGGAAACAAGTCATTCGGTCCAACAAGTCCACACTGCTCCTCCAAAGAGCATCCCACCCAGACCCATTCCCCACCCCTGTATTTCCCATGTTGAACCACCTAACCTAAACATCCCAATTTAGCACAGCCAATCCACCTACCCTGCACATCTTTGGACTGTGGGAGGAAACCGGAGCACCTGGAGGAAACCCACGCAAACATGGGAAGAATGTGCAAATTCCACACAGACAGTCGCCCGAGTCTGGAGTCAAACCCAGGCACTGTGAAGCAGCAGTGCTAACCACTGAGCCACTGTGCCGCCCTTATTTTTTTTCTATTGTTTTTTGAAAAGCTTGCTCTGTGTAACAGGTTCTTTCAATTTACCTGCCACAGCACTGTTTGCGTTAACCTGTACTGCTCCCATTCCAGGACGAAGACCTGAATGCAATTTCTTCAGACGTCATCTAACCAGAACTTTACATAAAGTAATACTTTCCTCTTTGAGCATCCTCCAATAACGGCTAACACTCCTTTACCCTTTTTGATACTTTTCTGATAGTGTCAAAAGGATAGAAAAAAAAAAACAGACAATGTGCTAAGATTAGTGGTCGTTTGTGGTTAAACCTATTGCAGGATTTGAAAAGCTTCAAAAATCAACAATAAAACAAAAAGGGAGAAGATACATTTTGAGGGTAAGTATGCAATTAATATCAAGACAGTCAGCAAGAGCTTCTTTAAATATGTTAAAAGAAAGAGAAGACAAAGCTAAAATAGGTCCCTTAGAGAATGAGGTTGGGGAAATAATATTGGGAAATAAGGAAATGGCAGAGGAGTTGAATAAATATTTTGGATTGGTCTTCACAGTTGAAGACATTAATAGCTTTCCAAAAATAGTAAATAATTAAGGGCAAAAGGAGGAGCAGAAATTTATATAAGTATCTCTACAGAAAAATGCTAGGGAAACTAATGGGGCTCAAGGTCAATAGTCTCCCGGACCTGAAATGAAGCATCCAAAGATATTAAACAAAGTAACTACAGAGATCTTCCAAGAATCCATATATTCTGGAAAAGTCCCAGAAGATTAGAAAACTGACTATATAACATCTTTATTTTAAAACAGAGGGAGAAACAAAACAGGTAGTTATAAGTCACTTAGCATTACATCTGTCAGCGGGGAAATGTCACAGTCTATTATGAAGGATGTAACATTTAGAAATACATAATATGATCAAGCAAAAACAGCATGGCTTCATAAAAGGAAAAATCAAGCCTATCAAATTAATTAGAAATCTTTAAGGAGATAACAATCAGGATTGATAAAGAGGAAGCAGTGGATGTAACATATTTGGATTTTCAGAAGGCATTTGATAAGGTACTACACATTAGGTTATTTAATTAGATAAGAGCCCATGATGTTGGGTTTAGTATATTGGCATTAACGTAGGTTTGAAAACTAATAGGAGACAAAGAGTTGGGATAAAGAGGGCATTTTCAGGACGGCAACCTGTAAATGTTGGAGTCACACAGGGGTCAGTGCTGGGGCCACAATTATTTAAGACACACATTAATGACTTGGATGAGGAAAGTGAATGTACCATTGCCAAATTTGCAGATGACACAAAAAAGGAGGAAGGCAAATGCTATGGGTGACATGAGCCTACAGAGGGATATAGACCAGTTAAGCATGTTGGCAAAAACCTGTCAGATGGAATATAATATGGGAAAATGCACTTTGCAGGAAGTTTAGAAAAGCTGAATTTTATTTAAATGGAGAAAAATTTCAGAAAGTTACAGCACGGGGGTATTTAGGAGTTCTCATGCATAAATCATAAACAGCTAGCATACAAGTTCAGCAGATAACAGGAAAGAAAAATGGAATATTATATGATTTTCTTTTTTTTTCAAAAGAATTTTATAGGTAGATTTGATGGAGGTGTGCATGATTATGATAGGTTTGGATAAGGTAGACAAGGAAAAATTGTCCTATTGACTGATGGGCTAGGAAACAGAATTAAAACATTGGATTTTCCCATGTTTAAGCTGAGCAATACTTTCAGGAAGTTTCATGGTCAGTGTCCCATCATGGCTCACAGAGGCTTTTCTCAAGTTATCCCCTGCTTTTTCTCTCTTTAATTATGCAACTTGTCTCTTTGGTGCCCTTTTCATGTGGCAGGTGAGATCCAGTTCCTGCCCTGCCTGGCCCTTCTAACATACAATCTACTACTGCCATATTTAAAGACCAGTTGCACACCCCTTCCAATGCTATAAACCAGGAACTACCTCACCCACTGTCCTCTTAAGAAACCAAAATGTTTCAGATAAGGAATCTGGCACCATGCTTTCCAGATAGAAACCTAAAGGCCCTG